GAGTGGTGAGGATGGAAGGAGAGGGAGAAACAAATTATAATAGAGAAGAGGGAGGAAAACAGAGGTGGACCTAATTAGGCAGAGGAAACTAAGAAAAATCTCCCAATCTTGTTATTCAATCATATTTTCCATTTCACTTTCCATTTCTCCTCTTTATTTCACTTTTTTTATTCCTTATTTTGTTTCCTTTCAGTTTTTTCCTTTTTCTTCTTTCCCTTGATTTATTCAGATTTTCTTCCCCTTCCCATTTGAAGTACAAAAAGGAGAAAATTAAGCAAATCAAACACAATTCCAAGTTTTTTTTAAATTTAATATTCAATACCATTATGAAAGCAAAATTAATCCTTTATTCACCTAATTTACCTTAATTTAATTTCAGATGTTGAAGAGCCAACTGAACTTATAGAAAGGATTCGCCAACTTTACCAGATACGGGAAGGAAGAATTTCACCATTTCCTTGGTGTGAGGACTTCAACTTTGACATTAATGACATATTTACCAGGCCAACCATTGTCAGGCAAGACAAAACTAGAGGAACAGCTGCAGAACAGGTAACCAGTATAACTGGAGTCTTTAAACCTCACAGTGGATGCTCCAAGCCCAGAACTGTCCTGATTGAGGGAGAACCTGGAATGGGCAAGACAACCTACTGTCAAAAGGTAGTGTATGACTGGGCTGATGGTAAAGAAACAGATGCTTCTTTCCCAAAAATTAAATTGGTTCTCCTGCTCAAATGTCATGACATGTCAGGCAACATCTGGGAAGCCATTGATGATCAGTTGCTTCCTCAAGATATTGAAGAAGAAGAAAGAGAAAACTTCTTCAAGTACATTCGTGCCAATCAGTCCCAGGTTCTGCTGGTTTTTGATGGATTGGATGAAGCACCTACCAATGTTATGGAGATGTTTTCTGACCTTGTTGAGAGCAGAGAGCTCTCAAAGTGTCACATCATTCTTACATCCAGGCAAGAAGGTAGTGTCAAGATAAGCAAGTTTTGTGACACCTTACTTCAAATAGAAGGATTTGCTTCAGAGAATTCTCACAATTACATCATGCATTACTTCAAAGACTTGGAGGCACAGGGACTAAAACTTTTACAGGACATAGAACAAAATATTGAACTTGAAGAACTGATTGTCAATCCCTTATTCACAGCAATGCTTTGCCTTGTTTATGAAGATTTAAAAGGTGGTCTGCCTCTAAGCAAGACTCAGTTGTATCTTGAAATCACAGAATGCATTCTTAAGAGATTTTGCCAAAAACAAGGATTGTCTCACAATAATGACAACCTAACTGAAGTTTTCAAGGAAGAGCTGGAACAATTGGGAAGTATAGCCTTGAAGGCCTTGAAGAAAGATAAAATGCATATTGAAGACAGTGAATTTCCAGGAACAACAGGAAAATCACCTCTATTTGAATTTTTATCAGTTCAGTCTAACAGCAGCAAAAGAAGATCCCATACATGTTATCAATTTTCACACAAGAGTTTTCAAGAATTCTTTGCAGGTCTTTATCTCTCTGACCAAATTTTGAAAGGGGAAACAGACTTTGAGACTCTACTTGCAAATGAAAGAGGAAACTTAAAGTCTCTTGAACCAGTCCTTTTGTTCACTGTTGGTATTATTTGCCATAAAAGTGAAAATGGAGCCTTGTCTCTTTTACATATCATTATCAAGAAAATTAATCATTTCCAAAACTTGATTTTCAAAATTTTTACCTGTGCTTTGCTGTAAAATGTATTAGTGAATGCTCCACAGAAAATTCAAGACTTCGATCCCAGATGATAAATTTATTGGGAAAAAACCTGGAGCTTCAAGAGGTGATGATATCTGACAACAGTTTCCCCATTAAGTTGTTTGTTGAGGCCCTTCAAGTTAACAGCACACTGACGAATTTGATGATCCCTATTCCATTATCTGGACACCTGTATGTCAAGTCATTGGCTGATATGCTTCGTGTTAATAAAACTTTGACTAAAGTTATTATCACAGACGATTTCATCAGTGCATATGGTGTACAACAACTGATAGATGCCTTACAGGTTAACACAACGCTGCTCGAGTTAGCCCTTTGTGGAAATGCATGGGACAACAATGGAGCAAGCATCTTGGCAGGCTACTTGGAGAGGAACAAAACTTTGACTGCCTTACATCTAATCCGGAGTGACATTGGCGATGTAGGAGCCACAGCACTTGCAGAGGTTTTATGGACTAACACCACATTAAACAGTTTGGACCTTTGGAAAAACCCAGGCATTGGCAATCCCAGTGTTACATCACTGTGTGAGGCTCTTAAAGTCAACAAAACCCTTAGCACATTAAATTTGTCTGAAACTGGTATTAGTGATGCTGGTGTTCTTTCTCTTGTGGAAGTTCTCAAAACCAATACCAGCAGCCTAACCTCTTTGTCACTGTCAGAAATCAAAATTAGTCATCACAGTGTAAAGTCTATCGCAGAAGTCTTGAGAGTCAACTCTACTTTGAAAGAGCTTAAATTTGAAGGAAATAAGGTTGGTTCTGATGGAGCGGAGTTGATAGCTGAGAGCCTTAAAGCCAACACAACCCTGAAAATTCTCATTCTCTCAAGGAACAACATCAAAGAACCATGTGGCGGTATATTTTCTGATGCCCTCAAAGTTAATGGGACACTGGAATCTCTGACTTTGGCAGAGAATGACCTTGGTGTTCATGGTGCCCAACTTCTATCAGAAGGGCTCAAAGTGAATACCTCACTTAGACATCTGGACCTGTCTGGGAATTCCATTGGCACTAAAGGTGCAGAGTCGATAGCAGAGACCATCAGAGTTCATGCTTCAATGACTGGCTTAAAACTATCATGGAACGGTATTGGTGATGCTGGAGCTAACAAAGTTTCTGAAGCTCTTAAAGTCAATGTCCATTTGAAGGAGCTGGATCTGTCATTTAATGCCATTGGTGCTGCTGGAGCTGAGTCAATTGCTGAGGCCCTTAAAAGTAATGCTACTCTGACTGTTTTAGACCTTGATTCCAATGTTATAGGTGATAATGGAGTCCAATCACTTTGTGAGGCTCTTAAGACAAATGCCACCTTGACCAACCTGATTGTTTCTAACAACAATATCCATTCAGCTGGTGCTCAGGCATTTGATAAACTCCAAGGACATAATAACACCCTAAAGAAAGTAACTTTGATCATGAACAATATCAGTGATTTAGGTGATCATGGGGATCAAGTATTTAATGAAGTCCCCATGGTAAGCGTGTCTTCTTTTCCTACTTCACATGATTTGTCACTGCGCTTTACTGATCAAGGAAGCTTTGATATACTTGTTTCTAAAGAAACTTTGATGCTACCTCAACAGTGAAACATTTTGTAGATTACAAAATGGAAGTCAAGTTGTAAAAAGCTAATTTCATTTCTGTGCTGGAGTTGTTAAGGCTGACATCCATGAGAAACTGTTTACTTGTAGACAATGAAGTTAGATCTCTTCCCTCTAACAAGAAGCTATTGATGACTGGTTTGAGCCTGAGTTAACAGTTTGGATCTCATTCCAGTTGGCTGGTGTGAAAAGGGGAAGGCCCCCTGACATCCTCCTCAAACCTCTAATTTTTCAGGGAGTGAACCAAAAAAGTTCTCTCTCCTTGACTTACAGAAAGCTCCCATGTTTTTCTTGCCTGAAAGAGATCTAAATTCACTGACAAGGAATGTTCCTTTTCCTCATCTGCTATTGCTGCCTGAGAATTGAGTAATGGATAAGTTGAACCATATACAAAAGAAAATGGTGTGCTGAGACGTTTATTCTTATGTTTACCTAGTAATATGTATTATATACCAAAATGGCCAAATGTGTTTAAAAGACAAGATTAAGGAAAAGCAAAGGTTGTTACTACCAACATAAAATCACCTTACAGTTTAGGAGAGTAGAGCTAAGTCTTCCTCACAGCTGACATCAGTTATCACACAGGTAGCCCAACCTCACAAAATAAGCCTCTGTAAAGATGCAAATATGTTTATGTTGTGTGATAATCCTATGAGAAGTAGGTTTATTTTAAGTATATATTATAAGTTCAGATTTTTAGGTTGAGGGTGCAACTGTTTATTCCCATAAAAATCCTTACATTCTGCCCACTGAGCAACATAGAAATATTTTCATAGTTATGGACACCCTTTTTTGTGTGTTTTGGCTACTTGTGGCTTTGAAAACAGATTTATGCTCAGGCTTTAAGGTATCAATCAGTGACACAACTAAAAAAAAATAATTCTGATTGCTTGAGCATATATGTTTGGACTTTCCAAACATTAAAAAATTTACCCTGCGCACATTTATCCTCATATAGTCACTGAGCATGTCAGTGGTTTTTTCTTGAGACGAACCTGTGTGATAAAGCTGACACACTCCCTTGGTCAGCTCAGCTGCTGCTTATCCCAAAAAACTGTTGAGCTGGGAACCTGCACTCAGACTAAATAACCTTTGCATGAAAGAGGGACGTTAAGAAACAGTTAATGCATTTTGGACCAGATGAAAGTAATATCTGTAGTGAACCATCAGTAGATAAAATAACCATTTATTCCCTAACATCAGCATTCATATTCTCCATACTGTTCTCTGTACATTTACTAAGGTGCTGACGAGGAGAATTTGTCTACCAATCAAGTTTCTTTATTTGGTGATCATTTCCTTTATTCTCATGACATTATATTTGCGATTCAGTTGTGATATTGTAAGGAGAAATTGGATTCTAGTCACTCATAGGGGTGAAATGGTTAATATATAGACCTCAGCTCAAACTAATTTGTCATTTTTCTCAAAATTAACAGTCAATTTAATTTTTACAGTGTCTGATGATTTCAGATCTGTATCAACTTGAAGATGGAGCTTGTAAAAAATAAGACAGCTTTAATTTTCATTTGCTGATTACTTCTATTTTGGAATGGCTGTTCCAAGTATGAATTAAAGAGAGTCTTAAGGATCTCCCCATGTAGAAGGTTTTACAACACCTTTTAGTAATCCTGCAGCTGTATTATATTACACAGACATCTTTTTAGTTTCAATGTGTAAGCTTTATTCTTCCTTCAATGGAGTGGCTTAAATACTTCTGTATTCTTAAGTTGAAATAATCTTCAATTATACATACATACTTCTATTTGTTACAGTATGTAAAAAATTTACAACTTGAAGCTAAGGTGGACCCACCATAACTAATTAATTTGTAACAGAAACCACTGAAAAGAATTAAAAACTTTTTTTACATGTAATAATCAAAATGATTTAATAGTATTTAGAAGTAGCATCTGTTCCTGTGATACCCATTACTGATCCTTTCCTTAAACAGGTCAAACCTCTTAACTTTGTTATGGAGAAATTAACATCATGAAAACTGTGATATCTATGTTATTTTGCCAAACCAATGGCCAACAAATTTCTACAGTAACTGAAAAATGAACAGATTGGTTTTATCAAGTGAGTTAATAATGTAAATTGGCCTCCTTGAGCTCTAATAGGACAGTGTACTTTTCATGCTTGTAATTGGACAGTGTAATAGGACAGTTAAGGGTGCCTGCACAGTTGTCTGGCATTTTGCTGAGTTAACTGTTGATTTTTTTTTTGAATAACTGATGTCTAATTTCTTTCTCAAATGTTGTCATAATTTTGATTTATTGGTAACAGGACTTCATATCATCCAATTCCGTCTGTAATCATGCTCATGATTACCAAATTGGACTCCCACTTCATGGTTGTCTGATTTGTTAATCACTCGTATGATTACAGACCAAATTGGACTCCACTCAGTCCTATTTCCACAATTATTGGTAATCAGAAAGTTACCCCCATATTCTATTGTAATACATACTACCAAAGGTAGATAACATTTCAAAATCTTTTTCAAGACAATAAACAAGCTCAACCTTCAAAGTCAAATTCCAGCCCAGTCCCTATCAGCTTATTCACAACCTCATTTTCAAACATCTTGTTCTGTTCTGGGGTGAAGTAATTTTTCCAATCACCAATCCTTCCTTTGCGTAACAGTTTTGGAGCTGTGCCCTCCAACCAGTAATTTGACATGTTCTTCATTCCTTCAAAGTGGCACTGTTCAGCAATTTTTGTAATGATATCTTCTGAAAGCTGTTTACCAAGGAATTTGGCTTTTGTACAAACATTGCTGTGCAAATCCTAAGGGAGGAAGAGAAAAAAAAAACTTGGGGTTCTGTGACTGTTTGGGTTGGGCCTTTCCCAGCTTTATTTCTAGTGTGCTATATGTATGACAAATAACTGACACAATACCCCTCTGTTAAAAGAAAAAAAAAGGGTAAACTTTATCAAATGTTTAAGAGAGTAACCTGCCATACACCAGCATATTCTGGCAAACTAGATGTGCAGGCATCAGATGACATTTGCTATGGTATTGACAAGGAGAATTTATTTGACAATCAATAGCTATAACTGTAGTGGGTGATTATTTTCCTTATTCTCCTAACCTTGATGTTTGCTTCAGCAGTAACACTGTAAGGAGAAATAGGATGCTAATCACTGCTAGGATTTAAAGGTACAAGAAAGAAAAAAATCTCTGTCATGCTAATAATTGTTTCTGAAGAAACCACCTGGTAAGTAGACACCTCTGGCTTAAGACTGGCAGATCCCAACCTGTTGTGATGATAAAATATAATCTTACACTATCTGATATCAACCTACTGTAATTTGGTTGTTGAATGAAAAAGTGTGAAAATGGAATTTTATAAAGCACAATAAAACATAATCTAACCTTATCAAGTCTTTATACTTGAGAAATAAGACATTGGGATCATCCCTGTGCCTCCACCAGCCTAACACATGATCACTCCAATGACCACACAACACTGGAATAAAACAATTGCAAATCATCTTAAGAAAGGACCAGAGGGGAAGGAAGGGGGGGGGGGGGGGGGGAACAATGCTGAAATGTGTACCCTTGCTTTTAAAACTACACAAACCCAAGGATGTATTTTTTCATCCAAAAAGGTTTCTAGAGTTGACTCTAACCATTTCACTCACAAATCTCATAAATAATTCTCCTGACTATTTGCCATTCAATTCTTATGATGCAAGTTCACTTTATGCTACATGGACACTGGAATAAGCTCCAGCTGGATGGACCAATAGGCTCAAGTACAAACTTTACCTTACCTTCATCTCAAAGATAACCAGCATGTTATGATTATGGAAATGAGGGGACTATGTATTCAATCAAACTAATCCTTGATTAATTGTCTTGAAATATTCTGCATCCACAAAGTCTTTCATTTCTTTCCTTGTCACTCAGATGTGATCAAAGTATCCTTCATGTAGTCTGACACAACCTGTTACATAGTTCACTTTGTAGAAAAATACCTGGGAAACAAAAAGAAGATTTTGAGAACAGACATTCTTTTGGCAAGTTAACACAACAAGTTCTGAAAAATGTTTGAGTGCATCTCAGTATTATTATTGGGCCTGAGATAAAGAAAACTCTGTCAAATCTGAGATAGGTTTTAATTTCATTTCAATTAGAGGAAAAGAGCTGGTTTCATTCTTTTCAGGACATAAGAAACATCTCTTTATTCCTAAAAGCATGAACAAACTAAAACTTATATCATCAAGGTACCATATCCTTGTCTTTAGCTTGGCACCCCTTCAGCTTTAACAATGTTATCTTTTGAACACTATTGACCTCACTTTGTCATTTTTGTTTTTGTACTTTTTCATCACAGCAGTAAGAAACTGAACTTTAAGATCAGTGCGACAAGTTTCACTTAAACTTTTTGATGCTACCTGAAAATAAAAAAATGCCATTTTATTTACATTTATTGATAATATTATTAAGAGTTGGACAAAATCTTATTGCCCACTAAACCATCAAGTGTGTTGAGAAAGATGACTAGATATCTTTTGTTTGCAGATAAACCCCAAGATGAAACCATTCAAATAAAAGCAACTATACTGTGCATGTAACTTTTTTGTTAAGTAGACTATGTTTAGTTTATTTTGCTCTGAATATGGTTCAGCTGCTCAAAACATAAGGAAAAGGCTGTGCACATGACCATTCCAATGATAACCACTGTCCTTTAGAATTGTTCATTCCAGTTTTACTAAACTTAAACCCCTTAACTCCCAAGAGTGATTAAAATGTAACTTCTCCCTCTAATAACCATACATTATCCAGCAAAATGGCAACAAGAATCCTCAAACTTATCAGGTAGAAGTTATTATCTTAATATAACACTAAATTTTCATTATGAAATTATGAGGAAATGTGTTGCTGCTAGTGGGGAGAATCAACAACCAAATCAAGAGAGTTAACCCTTTAACTCCCATGAGTGACCAAGACAGAATTTCTCCTTACAATATCAATACAATATCACTGTTGATTTATCAAGACTAATTAAATTTCATCATATGCACAATCCACTTGATTACATTTCTAATTGTGGGCTAGAGTCAAACCTTTCAGACATTATTTTCAAGATTTCCATAAAAGAAGAAATTGCTATTCCCATCCCAGTTGTTAATAAAGCATTTAGTGATAACACAGGATTAAAATATTAACATTTCCTTAATTTCCCTTGAAATAAAGATTATATCAGGGGTTTACATTTTGAGGGATTTGCCTTAGTGAAAGACAAAACTAAAGAAAAAAATGTAGACAATTAAAACAGTCTGAAAAGCTTCAAATCTAAATAAAAAAATTGTTGACTAATCCCAAGTTAGCTTTAAAATGCTTTGAACAAATCTGCCCAATTGTCAAAATTGCGTTGCCTGATAACCAACTTTTCTAGTTCACTTGCTGTCTGGATAAAGCTCTAAGCGAGCTACAGTTCAATCCATATCCCAAGAGGCAGTTTGGTTCCAGAGAGTATCAAGGGTAACAAAAGACATTTTTATGGTAATTTCGATGTTTGAACCTCTCAGAGAGATGATGTGATGCAAATTATGTGATATCTCTATGTGTAATATGGCTTCTCGGCTAAAATAGTATATTGACTGGCATGTACCAGAGGCACATACCTGCAATAAAATAGGCTCATTTATTGAGAACAGTCACAACGCAAGATGCAGGCAGAAGTGCCAGTCAACATTGTGCATGAACACATTATTAAATAATTCTTTTCTGTTTGTGATATCTTAGGGGAAGCAGTAATCATCAAGATCTTTTCACCTGGTTTGTAGCTAAATTTAATCTTATTGGCATAAACTAAATACCAATAAAACAGCAAAACAAAATGACTGAAACAAAACAAGCAAAACAAGCTAAACAAGGAAAATGAAACAGCCATAACAACTAAAATGAAATGACCAAAACAAAACAACCAAACAAAATGACTTCTATGACCAAAACAAAACCACTACAATGATCAAGACAAGTGGAGGATAAAATGTTGTAGAACTTGTAGATTTCACTTCAGATATTCTCTCACATTTTAAAACCTTTTAAATATTAAGGCTGTCTCACAAAACTTTTTTCCTCTCCACACAAGCAGTTGAAACTATAATTTGATACTGTCCATGTACCTAATTTTTTCCATTTATTTCTTTTTTAATTAAGGTTTCATTGAGACATAACTGAATTTCGCCAATGAGGTAGATCAGGAGTAGACCATAATTGAAATGAGATAAATATATCAGCTGGCACTGAAATTAAATTTTCTAGTCATTTCGGTCGTTTCGGTTTGGTTGTTATGTTCATTTCATTTCAATTGTTTTTTTTTGTAGATTCAATGGTTTCAAATATTTCATTTTGTTTTGCTCATAACCGTTGTTTTGTTTTGCTTGTTTTGCTCCTTTTGCTTGTTTTACTTGTTTCATTTTGGTCATTTCATTTTGCTGTTTCAGGTTTTAGTACATGCCAATCTTAACAATCATAACAACCTTTCTTTTTGACTCCATCATTCCTATTGCCATCATCGACTTTCATCATCGTCATCATCCTTCAGGTTTTTCTTCCGTTCTTGAATTCCTTCACACTCTACTCCATCTTCTGACAGTGCACTGTGTCAAGTGTTGATCTTGAAGTTCCTCATACCTTTTTTTTCAGTTCTGATTTCTCTTTTGTGATTCGTGGCAAACGTTGAACACAAACTGCACTGAATAGCCTTGAAATCCTTGGTTTTGGTTGAACTGTGCAGAAGTTCTTGCTAGTGATAAAATCTAAGAGAGAAATCTCCTCTGTAAAATCCAATATTTGAATTCATAATTTCATCAGTGTATTCGCAAGACAAAATCCCCCAAAGTAGACCACCAATTTTCGAACAAACTGCCCAGCTTACTATCCCTTTTAAGAATTGCTCTTAATCGTTATTTTCTCGCCATCCCTGACCGATAAAGGTTAATCCCTTGAAGAAAACCTAATCTCGCAAAATAAGCTCTCTAAGCCGCCATTTTGAATCGCTTTGCAACCACTCATTCTGGAACGCCTGGCTTAAAATCAAGCATCATGGCGCTAAAGAAATTAAGATGCGTGACTTCACTCGAAAAATTTCATCAAATGGGGTCTTTATTTTTCCTCCATGATCAAGGACATACAGCAGAGAACCCTAGAAGTCTTCTTACAAGCATTTTGAACAAAGACTTTGAGTTTGACCATATTCGAGTAATTTATCCGCAAGCTCCAGATATTACATAGCAGGTCGCTCATGGCGGACTTGAACAAGGGCTTTGGTACGAGCGGAACACGTTAAGCCCCACTGCTATGGAGAGGATGGACTCGATTGATCACTCCTGCAGTTTAATTTGCCATTTGATTGATCAGGAAAAATCTCGCGGAATTCCACTGGATAGGATCGTTAGAAGAAGGGTTATTCTTATATATGTAAGCTAAAATGGGCTCTTTTAAACATAGTAGGTGACCAGATAACAAGCAATGCACTGTGGAAGTAAGGTGAGGTATTTTTATTGATAGTTTGACTTACCAGTTTATTTTTTAATCCTAAGAGTGAATGTAAATATTCCTATACAAACTCTTTTAAGGTGGTCTTCCACTCACATTTTAAAAATTTTCAATATTAGCTGGGTCCAATTCATTATGGTACCACTGGAAATATCATCCAAAATTGTTGTGAATTGTGCTAGTGATTGACATTTTGTAACCATGACAACAAGTTTTAAGGGCCCCCCCGATGGTGTAAAAAGCTACCCATCTGCTAAAAAGAATGTCTAAAGAACCAGATGTCCCATTGTCCTATAAATGGTAGCAAAATGAACTACAATGATTGCTCTATACTGTAAACCTCAAAAAGTAAACTATCAAAGTATTTTTCAGAACAATAACAATTTATTTCTGAGAAGAACAATATTTTAGCCTCAATAATTCCCCACAAATTGAAATGAGATTCATGCACTTTCACATAATGGTTTTTTTTTGTTCATAACACAGCATAAATACAAGAGAGAATTCACTGAAAATTTCAGTTCAATCACACTAAAAGAAGCAAAGATATCCTATTTGCTGTTTTGGCTATTAAGGTAAAATTATAGAATTAAGAAAACTGAGATTAAAGTTTTGAGTTGTAACACAGAGTAGCCATTGTCATAGAAAACAATGTTTTGTGCTAATTTCCACTTGACACATTAAAATCCACCAACTACATAAATATCACCCTCCTTTTCTTGTTGTTTGTCAGTTTTTTTCTTTCTTTTGCCATGGAACAATCTCCACTGAGACTTGTTGACTCCTTGCTTTTTGTAGTTGGCCCTTAGAACTTGGACTGAATCAGCTCGCTGAGCCTCATCTGAGCCTGACATCCAATATTAAAGTGGGCTACTGCATCATAAATGCCCAACTGCAAGGTCTCAGGGCAAACAAAGACACTCTTCAGTACTCTCTCCCAGAACATAGCATCAAGGGCCTCATTCTAATTTTGTGTCTTTCCATCAAGACACCTGCTCAGAAGACTGACTTCACCCAGTCTAGCAAAAATTGGTACCAGTTCAGCAATGACATCTAAGAGTAGACCAGCCCTATGCCTCTAGCAGTTTCTTTGATTGGCTTGATCCCTTGTGTACCCATGCACACCAACTAGTAGCACTCTGGGAAATGCTGCAAATGCAACTTTCTGTTAGCTGAGGATGCACAGTGAAACAAACTTGCATGAATAGCTGATTTCATAGCTGGAAAATTACCAGGAATCTTATTTTGCAAGATGATCATCTCACAGCTGGAGCTTGGGCCATCTGTGATGT